GAAGTGCCAAGTTCTTTTCTGCCTAGTGTCCTCGTTCACCTGGGCGATTACATGTATGCCCCGTGCAGGACTGGGTTTTGCCGCTACAGGGATGAACAGGTGTTGTGTGCATTCCTGTGCTGGCGTCTCATTGTTGTCTATTGGGACACAAGGCTGAACGAACACAGCTGCTGTGTCCGAATAGGACATGTGGGTTTGAGTCCCCGACTCACCTTGGTTGCTTCCGGGAATCCGCACCCACGTAGATGTGATATTATGACACTGTGGCTGTGTCTGTGCAGCCGTGTAAAGATAAACAGTGCTTTGTGTTGGAAAACTGCAAAGCACCACCACTCAAAGCAAACACTAGCCCACAGGCTAAAACAGATCCATTTAGCATGCAGCTAGAGTGAACACAGCCTTAATAAATGCTAAAATCATCAATTTTAAAAGCCTAGTGGTGCTGTTACTGAAAAGTAGAACTTCTTCAATAAACAGAGGATACAGGCAAAAAAAGATTACATGGTTTCTTTAAGAAATCAGGAATTACCAATAATAAAATAAACCACAAATTTGTCTCTAAAAGGCGTTCTATTTTTGGTACAAATCAATTGTATGATGAAGACTTTGGCAAATTTGAGTTTGTGTAAATAAAATAACAGGGAACTCTAAATGACTTTTAAGCATATAAATTAGAAAATGTGGAGAGGCCCTTGAGAAAAATAAAACACAAATGCACACTATAAAAGCAGCTATTGCCTAAATGCTGTTCTTGCTAAGTTAATACAATTATAGAATTTCATTGAAAGCGGAAGCTCCTCTATAATGTGTATTTGGCAAACAATTGCTTAGGTATGTGGGTATTAGGTATTTTTATGTTTATGAAGTTTTCTCAACATTTCTTTAGCTCCCCATTGATTCAATCAGCTTCTGAAATAAGAGAAACTACCTTCTGTAGGCTATAATTCTCTCAATTCATATTTTACACAGGACTGTTAATGTCTGTATGGGAGTGCTAAACCCACTTGAAGTAGGTAAAATGTAAGTCAGATGCGCCTGTTAATGTAAATAATTTTGATGGAAGCCCAATGTCCATTGATGTAGACCCTAAGACTACTAGGGAGGAAAGATCTACTGCAGGAAGCCCACAGGCAATACTATACTAGTGACTTTTTTGGGCCACAAATTGCTAAACGCAGCAAAAACGCGTGAACACGCGTCAAAACGCCAGCCATGTTTAGCGCTTGGGCGTTTATTCATGTCAATGGAAAATACTGTGGCCAATAAAATGAATTAATGTCCAAGTGCTAAACATGGCAAAACGCGGTACCATGTTTACACGTGTTTTTCCCGCGGTTAGCATTTTTCTGCTGCCAGGAGAGCTAAACGTCTAAGGGAGTTCATGTGTACATGATGCCTAAAGGAAAAGTGACTTTTTCCTTTACGTAAATGAACTGCAAAAGAAAAAAAAAAAAGTTTGCATCGCTGTCTTATTTATTTTATTTTTTTACCTGGTGTCTATTGGAACAGGGAGGCAAGGTGTCACCCCTTGATAACTTCTAGGAAAGTTTTTTTTTTTTTTTTTGGTATAGATAAAATTCCTAATTTATTACTTGCTAGCAAAAAGCCTCACCTAAAGACAAACAATGCAAGCTTTACGTTCATTAATGCAGTAACAAAAAAATAAATTTGTACAATTGCATTAAAATATAAACGTGCTGTTTATTTCATTGTGAAGAAAACTGAACAACATGCACAACTAGTGTCTCTAAATACCAAAAAGTGAAAAACGTTTAATGAACCCATTTGCTGCCAGGCCCTGCGCTACACTTTTAATGTGATAGTGAACTCATTACCCTGAATTCACTATATCAGGTCTCCCACAGTAAACAGAACATGCTAATACAATTCTTTTACCAAATATAAACTGCTAAACACCTCTTCTCATCAGCGCTATATAGCAGTCATGTGACTTTTGTCAGTGTCCAGCTGAGCACTGGTTCATCTTGTAGGAGGAGTTTTCATTCTCCTCTGATGTGTCCTCTGTACATCAGCATAGCTGCATGACCCCTGACCCCCTGTCCAGACAGCACTTATTGGCGCTGTGCTGATCCCAAGTTCTCTCTAGCAATGCACACAAAACAGAGCATGTGCAGACTTGCCAGCGCTGCTCTGTACGATTAGAAGATGGATTGGGGACAGTAAAAGAAGGGGAGGATCAGAGAAGGCAGGATCAAACAGACTTTACATAATTTCGAGTATTAACCCCTTAGGTTACACAGTGAGTATACCATGCATGCTTTACTGCATATAGAGGCGGCTCTCTGATTAGGCAAATTAGGCAGTCACCTAAGGCCATACGACCACCTAATTTGCCTAATGCAGCCACTGGAAAGTGAAAGTGATGCAGTAGTTCCATAGTTTCCGATCACGATCATGGAGCCAGAAGCGTGGTGCCTCAACAAAGCAGCGCAGTGCCCCACAGCAAAAAAAAATGCTATGGAGCTGAACTGGTTAACACTGCCGTTAAGAGCCCTGTCCCACTTAAGCGAGTCTCGCAGAGGCCAAACAGCTGTTTTGCAGAATGACTTTAATTTAGAGGTGACAATACACCTTAACACTGCTGTGCGCAGGCAGCGTTAAGAGCCCTGTCACACTCACCTATCGCGTAACTTTAAATTTCTGGAGCTCCTCCTGCCAGCCAATGAGGAGTGATGTTGCGTTCGTGCATGTCACCCCTCCAATTTACTGCACAAGGATCTCAATCTGGGAAGGCCTGCTTTGTAGCTGATGGACAGACAGACTGATGGACATGGGTGGAGCCTCATATCTATGTTTTGCCTAAGGCCTCACAAAACCTAGAGCCGCCTCTGACTTCATATACAGACTGATTTTAGCATTGTATGTTTGGTAACACTTTAAGCTCAGATGGCCAGACCATTTTTGCAATTTTTTTCTTTTTTTTTCTTTTAGGCTTACTGCTTTCAGAGATTGTTAAGTAGTCCCCCAATCATACATTTCTCAAAGCATAGGGCCAGTACAGTAAAAAAAAAAGGTGCTACTGAGTGATATTTGTGCATATGTTCAATGAAACTTTCCCTAAAAATACACTAAAATCATTATTATCGGACACAAACACAGCAACATCTAGAAAATTCTGTCTAAATTTCTACTAAATATAAAAGCTAAAACTGTTAAAAATTGTATTGCGTTATTTATGCAAAATTGTAAATAAGCAATTTAGGCTACTCTGTACAGTGCTGAGCAAACGTTTTGGCGCTATATAAATACTGTATAATAATAATAGTCTACAAATCTGGAGGTTATCATTTTTCACAGCTTTCAGAGTTTGTAAAAGACCCCCTAAACCACAGGTGCCAAACACAAGGCCCGCAGGCCGAATCCGGCCCTCAAGGTCATTTCATGTGGCCCTTGTACCTTGCCTGCAGGTACCTCCTTGTCTCCCCCCCATTTTGTCTCAGCAGTCGGCAGCAGAGAGGAGAATAGAACTCCTCTGCCAAATCCTGCACCTCTCAGTGCAACTGCAGCACCCCCTCATCTCTGCCTCCCCTGGTCTCAGCATTCAGCAGACTCTGGTAACTGACTCCACTCCTCCTCTGGTCCTCCTCCAGATTCTGCACTTTCTGCTTTCCACCTCTGCCACCAAAGGGGGTGCATGGTGATGTTAGGGAGGGTGTGGGATTCTTGACATCTGATGTAATGGGGGGTTAGATGCTCTGGACATCTCGTTTTACAGATGCAACCCACCCTTTGAGGGCAACCATAATGCTGATACACGGCCCGCGATGAAATGGAATTTGACACCCCTGCCCTAAACCATACATTTTCTAAGAGCACAACAAGTAGAATAAAAAAAAATGTGCTGCTGATTTTTTTTTTTTTGTAGGCCCTGCAATAGTTGCGCAAATGTTTATTGCATAACTGTTTCCACTAAAAATACACTACAATCATTATTAGCACACATAAACACAACATTTCTTACACAATTCCTGCTAAAATCCTACTAATGCCTCATTCACTTGGGCTGTACTAAAGTTCATGCCCATCTGAGGGCTGTGTTTACTCCCTGTATTCCTGTTCAAGCAGTCCACTACTCCTAAGATGAAGTCTGTGAGGGTGCACAGCCCTGAACACAGACAGTTTGGGGTTTATTTACTAAAGCTGGAGAGTCCAAAATCAGACTCCCTTCTGCATAGAAACCAATCAGCTTCTAACCTCAGCTTGTTCAATGAAGCTTTGGCAATGAAACCTGGAAGCTGATTGGTTTCTATGCAGAAGTGAGTCTGATTTTGGACTCTCCAGCTTTAGTAAATAAACCCCTTTGTGTTAACGGACATGCACTCACACTCACACAGACTTCAGATTGGGAAAAGCGGCTGTGTTTATGCAGCTACTGCATCCCAATTAACTTGAATGGGACTGCCTGCAAGGGGAATACACAGAACCCTGTGCAGGTAAACATGGTCTCGCATAGATGTACGCTGTAGTGTGCCCAATGTAACCTTACAAGATTATGTTTTTGGGTTTTTTTTTTTACAATTTTATTTTTAATATTTTTTACTTTTTTGGGTGGGGAGGGTAAAACATCAAGGGTCTAAACAGACCCCTGAGGGGTTTTCTTGGCTAAACATGCCCTACAGCCTAGATGTCTGAGCTAAGAGCAGACAGAGTCCAGGAAGTAAATGTTATATGAATCATCTGCCCTTACTCAATATAGTCACAAATGGAAATGCAAGGAGGTGTTTTGCAAAGTAATTTCTCAACAAAATAGAGCATGGAGACATGGAAAGATGGGTGAGTTTACTTTGAATAATAAAAATGAATTAAATAGTGTTTTCAGTTTGTGGTGTTCAGATACAGTTAAGTTTTAAGTTAATAAATATAATATGCAGTTATTTGTCAGTGACTGTGTATATTGACTTACCACTATTAGAAACGTAAACGCACTCTGTATCCTACAACAAGCATAAGTAGATGCAGTGATGGGAATACATTATTACCTTCTCTTCATATGAGGCAGCTTCATTGTATTTTTATGGTGCAAGTAAAAGTCAGTGGGCAGCTCCCAGAGATGAGGCTTTCCTTCAGTTGGCTGAAAAACACCTAGGAATAGATTGATTGCATCCTGTCTGTCTGCATCTGTGTGAAGGAAACAAAAATCCATTTTATTCAGTTAAATTTAATTATTTTTATTGGAGCTGATACATTTTGATTTTGAAGAATCAAAAAGACTGACTAAATTTTAAAAAGTCAAAATTGTTTACAAACTTTTTCACAGGTTCTCTGTGTTCTTTTTTTCAATCTTTCCTGGAAATCTGCAGAAAATACTTTGTGATCCCAACAATATCCCTTTCAAGGGCAATGACCCCACGATGTTCAAATAACTGCTTATTTATTGCCCTTCACTGCTTGTATACATTACATAATTGTGTCGTGCTGATTATCTTGTATTTAAAAACAGGCTTAAAAATGTTTATCCTGTGATCAAAGAAAACCAGATAAAATCCTGGAAGAATCAAGCTGGTGATGTGAGCTGGACCAGCTCACTTTAATTAGGGTGTAAAAGCACAAATGGTTCTCAAGGAAACGTTTTGCCACTTATAGATTTAGAACCCCAGCATGCATACTCTTCAGTTACATTGACAATTCAGTAAAGCACATTAGGTTCTCTTTTGTTTTTTTTTTCCAATGTAGTAAAGCACATTAACTCTTCTTTTGACAAAACACATATGATTGTTAATTTACTAAAATCTCTGAAAAATTGTATACGAGAGCAAAGTACAAAAAAAAAAAATTGTTTTCCACTAGTCATCTATTTAAGATTCAAAATGAAATTTAATTGTAAACTGAAATCAAATGTTTTACAAATATTCCATAGCAAGAGCAGCAATATATTGTATACTGCATTTATATAATATATTGAGGTGCAAAAAAAGTGAAGATGAAACAAAAATGAAGGTGAAACCTACATGACTTACATGTAACCCTCTACTTAAAGTGCACTGTAATGTATGGGGGATTAGAAGGTTTGTAGGACACGGACGTTTTGGAACAACACAGTCCTCAGTAGCAAGCAAAGTGTACATCCACAGAAAAAAACTGAGAAGCTAATTTTTGGATCAATACAGTCCCAGTAACAGGCAAAGAAAACATGCTTACTTCAGCCAGAAAAACTTTAGCGGAACAAATCCAAAGACAAAAAATAGCACCATAGGGCCCAAATAGGAGTGGAGCTAGCTGGCATTTATATCCAGGGCTTTTTTGGTCATAAAGCAGCTGTTCTGCCACCTCTGACACTAGACCTTTGACTACCACAGTCACATGTACACAAGGGGAAAGGGGGGGGGTTGTGTAAGGGGGTAAGTACCTACAGCTATATTCTCTGGCAAAAAAGCCTTGTGTATATCTAAATCAATCAGGAACAGTGTCCACCAACCCTCCCGTTGCCCTTTCTCCTACCATTCTACCATTTACTTCCTTATCCTCCCTCTCACTCATTAACCTTTCTGTGAAGTTTAAAAAGCCCATCACCTGTGGCAGGGGTTCTTAATTTTATTCATATCAGAGCCTAGTAAATTCTTCCAAAATCTACCATGCCCCAAAAGTAAAAAATAAAATAATTTTTACTAACAGAATAAAACTTTGGGAATACAAAATATGTATTGAAATCCAAAGAGACCCTGGATGTGGCTGGATGTTAAAGTGGGAGAATGAGGGGAGAATGAGGGTTCTGAAGGAGGCTGTGGGCTTTCCAGGGGCACTGTGGTAGACTGGGGGGGGGGGGGCATTGTGAGATATTGTTGTAGGTCAGGGCACTATAGGGGGCCTAAGGCTTTGCAGTAAACTAGGGGGCACTTAGGAGGTTGAAGGATATGGTGGACCACTATGGGAGGTTGTATGGCACTGTGGGAGCTAAAATTGTAATGTTGGAGGTTAGGGAATCTGCAGGTTGCCATGAGGTCCAGGAGGAGGGAGGCTGCTGCCTGGTAGTTGAGAACCAGTGACCTAAAGGACAAAGTATGAAGATGTATACCTGCCATCCAGAACATATCTGTTTTGGCCAATAAAGTATGCAAATCCCAAACTTTTTAGTATTAAGTAGTAAAGGATTAAAACCCTTGTCTGTTTAGTCTCTGTCCTGCTGGGTGAACTTCCTTTCCTATCTTGGAGATGCAACAGGAAGTGAAAGATAAGTTAGTTAGTTAGTTAGGTGGTGTTATATGGATATGTGATGCTAAAATATATGATACTTTGTGACAGATGTCCTTACTTTTAATGAGTTTTGATTTTAATGGTTAAGGATTGGATGACAGTTCTGGCGGTGTGTCCTGATAGTTTAATTTAGTTCAATTTGAGTCTCATTGTTAATTATAACCATCTTATATTGGGTGGCCTTTTTTGATAGAGTATATATATGGGCTTTGGACACTCGGTGGCTATTATGTGAGGATTGCCAAAGGATTATTAGGATATTTTCAATTATATTGAGTATTTCTATATACTTCTGTGTGGATCCAGACTGAAAATCCCAAGATAGCCGCCACGTATGCAGCCATGACGTCACGTATGTGATTACGTGACATACCTTGTGAAAGTCATTACGCACTCCATATGCACGGTGGCGGCTATCCTGACTATAAATAAGCTGACCAAATTGTTTTGACATGTGCTTGCCTCTGATGCAGTTGGACAGAGCCAGTGAAACCGATCAGGCTATCTGTTACACACCCATCATGGACCCCAAAACAAGATGATCGATAAGTATTTGGGACTTTTACTACTTTACCTCAGAATATGATGGCTGATAAGTATCTGGGACTTTTTTACTTTACCATCTCTATATATTCTATGGGCCATTATGAGAGATTTTCCTGGGATTCTCCACAACTTATTAAGGATAAGTCTGAGTATATACACCCTGGATGTCTATGCGTGGGGGGGGGTTATATAACATAACATGTTTCTTCTTCTCCACTAAAGTGCTATTTCCTCCACTGGACCACAGTGAATAACCTTATAAATGGATGCACTCTAAATCATCTCAGCCGTTGCTTTCTTTATAACATTGTCTAAGTCTATCTATTTGAAGCATCTGTGTGAGGGAGGTTTGAGGCCATAAAGTTATATTATCTACAATGAACTGATTATTTTACCAACGCGTTTCATCACGACGTCATTGATGACGTCGTGGTGACGAAACGCGTTTTGGCATGGCCTACTCGATGCTGACGTCAGGACGTTCCTTTCCCAGTGTTTGTCGGAGGTGATCCACGGTGAGCGGGGATCGTTCATCACCTCATTGCTGTGTATTGCTGATTAAGCTGGTGTCTGTCTGGACACCTTGTTTGTGAGTTGCTTGAGCTTTTATTAAATTTTCATATGTTTTAAAACGTACTGAACCATCATGTTTTTTCCTTTGTCCCTGAGTGTGATTCATACATATATGGAGGTATGGAATTAAATGGAGAGATTCATCATGAGATCCTTGGCTGCAGAGTATTGCTCTTGGTAGTGATACTTTATCCCTCATACTGATTCACCATTATTGATTACCTAGACGTGATTAAGAATTACCACATCTAATATCTGGACATCGTTTATTCATCGATCCCAGAGCACAAGCATTATTGCTGGTTTATAATTTGATCAGCATATAGCTCTGGTGAGTTTATTTAATTCATTTGGTGGTGGATTATTCACAGTGTTATGAAGTCACAGAGAATATTTTGAGTTTGTTCTTGGACACTGGTTTATTTTTGGACACTTAATATATGGTGATATATATATAGATATGTATATATTTATTTAGCGCATACCCTTATGAGATTTTGTTCACTTTGCCAAATTAATTGTTTGTGTATATATTTTTTTGGTGGGTGTTGCTGCTGACACGTAGTTTTTTTTTTTTAAAAAGAGTGTGGCGCTTTTTTTTCTTTTTATTTTGTACACTATAGATCTTCAATTTATACTCAGCTATTCACAAATTCTGATCTTAAGGGTCCATTTAGCACTGTGCTCATTATTCACTTTATTAGTCCATAGGATCCAGTCCACATGATGCTAACTACTATATATTATATACTATATATATCCTCCGCTCTTCCCACCACTCCATCCCTCACAGCTGTTTCCTCCTGTACCATTCTCCCCTCCCTCCTATATTGTAAGCTCCAAGGAGCAGGGCCCTCGAACCCCTCGTGTATCGCATTGTATTGTTATTGTACTGTCTCATGTACTGTCTCTCATTAAAATGTACAGCGCTGAGCAAACTTTTGGCGCTATATAAATACTGTATAATAATAATATATTAGGCATTTGTACATTGGGGAACACGATGGGTGTGCATTTTATTGCACACTCCCATACTTAAAAAACCCTCCCTGGATCCCACCGACCTAAACAACCTTCGACCCATCTCCCTGCTGCCATTTTCATCCAAACTCCTTGAGTGCTTCGCCTATAATTGCCTAAGCTCCCACCTCATCAACAACTACCTTCTTGATCCCCTACAATCTGGCTTCTGTCCCCTACAATCCTCCGAAACCACCCTACTTAAACTCACTAACGACCTGCTAACCGCCAAAGCCAATGGCCACTACTCAGTGCTACTAGTCCTCGACCTCTCTGCGGCTTTCGACACGGTCGACCACCCCCTCCTCCTCAAAAAACTATACTCTTTTAGCCTCAGAGACCCCGCTCTCTCCTGGCTCTCTTCCTATCTATCACAACGCTCCTTCATTGTTACCTATAACGCTGCCACCTCCCCCTCACTCCCCCTCTCTGTTGGGGTCCCCCAAGGTTCTGTCCTCAGGCCCCTTCTCTTCTCCATCTATATCTCCTCCCTTGGTCAACCGATACACTCCCACAGCTTCAACTACCATCTCTATGCTGATGACACTCAAATCTATCTCTCTACCCCTTGCATCACCCCTTCAGTCTCCGCCTGAATCAATAGCCTTCTGAACAACATATCAGACTGGATGTCACTCCACTTACTCAAATTAAACCTTGCCAAAACCAAATTCCTAGTTCCCCCCCCCCCCCCCCCCCGACCTCTCCATCACGACCAAGAACGCCACCATCAGCCCCACCCCGTAAGCCAGAGTACTAGGCGTCATTCTAGACTCCAATCTGTCTTTCCAGACCCAGATCCAATCACTGACAAATTCATGCAGACTCCACCTCCGCAACATCTCCAGAAAATACGCACGTTCCTAACTCCAGAAACTACAAAGCAACTCATTCACTCCCTTATCATATCATGACTTGATTACTGTAACTCCCTCCTCGCCGGCCTATCCCAACACCGGCTATCCCTGCCTCAGTCTATCCTGAATTCTAAGGCCAGACTCATCCACCTTACCAACCGCATCGTATCTGCCACCTCCCTCTGCCAATCCCGCCACTGGCTTCTGATTGCCCAACACATAAAATTCAAAATATTAACATTGACGTACAAAGCTGTTCATAACACTACCCCAAACGACATCACCGACCTGATATCCATCTACCACCCCAAAACGCACTCTCCACTCCTCACAAGACCTCCTACTTTCTAGTTCCCTGGTCTCCTCCGCCCATGCCCATCTCCAGGACTTCTCCAGGGCTTCCCCCATCCTCTGGAACTCACTACCCCAATTCATCAGACTGTCACCTACCCTCCTCACCTTTAGGCGCACCCTGAAAACCCATCTCTTCAGAGAAGCTTAGACCGCCCTCACCTAATTGCCAATCTCCTCCACTCTTCCCCCCACTCCATCCCCCACAGCTATTTCCTCCTGTACCACTCTCCCCTCCCTCCTAGATTGTAAGCTCCAAGGAGCAGGGCCCTCAAACCCCCTCGTGTATTGAATCGTATTGTTACTGTACTGTCTCGTGTACTGTCTCCCATTATAATGTACAGCGCTGAGCAAACTGTTGGCGCTATATAAATACTGTATGATAATAATATTATATTAGGTACCTTCGATTATTTGTATTGTTTGTTTTTTATAAGAATGAATAACATATTTAAAAGGACATCTGTCAGTAGATAATCTTTATCTTGTTCACTTTCACTACTGCATTTAAGAGGTTCAGTTGTGAGAAATGTGGGAGTGATATACAGCCAAAAAGTCCATTTTTATGATGCTATTTTTTTGATTATGTAATGTGTGGACGGATCCCACCCAGGTATTTTTTGATAGAATATATTTGGACAGAGTAGGATACTTTTGCTCTGTTCCTTTTTGGGGTATCTAATCTTTCCTCACGCTATACAAAACTTAAAACAAAAATTTTTTGGCTTTACATACACTATAAATGCACCTGTGTCAAGACTTTGGACAGTGCTGTCATTTCAGCTTCCTGCATATGTGCAATTTGACTTGCATAAAATCAGGATTAAAATGAACCTGTGCCCAGATCATGCACACTAAAGACTGTTCATGTTCTTATCAAGCAGTGACAGTTTTACAACATGCCTGCTCTGTGCAACGGTTTTATGGTTTTGCACCTCCTCTTCTGGGGTCCCCCGCCAGTGCTCTCCACTCCTCTTCTTCGTGTGCCACCATAGGAAGCCACTTCCTATGGTGGTGCATGTACACAGTGTAGCTCAGTACCACCCCCATCCCTCCCCCGCTCCCTCCTCCCTGCATTTGACTGACAGCAATTGGAGACAATTTTTCATTGAGTATTTAGCTGTATGCAAACATTTTTTAACATTATGAGAATTACCAATTTAAAATATAATAGATCAACTTAGGTTAAAATGTAGAACTTGAAGAATTAAGCCTTTTTTATATACAAATTACTCCATCCTGCTCAGAATAATAAGAGTTTTTACCATTTTTTCGAGTGACACCGAGACTTCACGTGATCAGCTGTGGCCGTTAGGACACAGCGATCAGGAGATCGGCGGCGAGGCAAAAATGTATTAGGTTTTAAACATTTCATCTTATACAGAGCTGTAAAGTAATAAAGTGTAGAAAAAAATCTCCAAGAGGGATAAACTGGTTTTTGTGAGGAGTATACAGCTAGAAATGCAAGCATCATTGTTAGATCAGCTGAATGTCTACTACTAGACGACACCCACAAACAGTGGAGTTTCAGTAAAGCGTGAGGAAAAAGCCGAGAAGGAGCGGCTCAACTGCATTTGCTTGGCTCACCCCAGCCATATCTCAGGGACTAACATGGAGCCAATTCATGCCATGAGTGGATCTTGTCGAGAATGAATCCAAGAGGGAATTTGTGAGGGGAGAGAGAGGAAGAATGTCGAAGACAGTGGAGGTAAAAGAAAGAGTGGACTGATGAAGGGGATGGATGCAGGGGGCTCTCTAGCAGCAGAGATTTTTACAAGTTTTTTTTTTACTTTTTTTTTCTTCTTTCAGTGCCGTTCAAAGTAATTTATTGGATATGTGAATTGTGTTTAGTATTAAGCACTCTAAAGGTGCTGTGGAACAGCTATACAAGACATACAGAAAAGGTTAACTATTTTGTTTTAAATGGTAACTTGTTCTATTGGAAGAACACATTTAAATTGTGACTTAGATTTTGAGCAAAGAACATATGCATGTTCCATATTATGAAAGTTGTGGCTTACCAGAAAATGCATTACTATAGTATCTAGACAGTGTTTGCATAATGTCCTTAGAGTGCTGGGTCCATGGCGCAATCTTCCTGTAGGTTTTTCACTCTATGAACAAGCTGGGAACCTCCATATTGAAGAGATAAAGTGTCACCATGATCTTCATATAGCTCCTCAAATAACCTGCCAGAAAAAAATAACACTTTAACCAATACTTTAAGTACTGAAATATATTAAAAGTAATAGCTATCTACTTTACATTTTAAGACAATTATTTTAACGTTTATGTTTTCAATATTGATTCCATCAATTTAAAGTGACTGTAAAGTCTTTTTTTAAATTAAAATAATAAACAGGTTTATACTTCCATGCTCTATGCAATGGTATTGCAGAGAGTAGATCCGAACCTCCGCTTTTGTGGTATCCCACTGGCGCTCTGGGCTCCTCCTTTTCTATGTCTGCCCCTATATCAAGCCACTTGGTATAGCACTAGATGTGTGGGCACGCTCCTGAGGATTAGGCACAGCCAATGTAGCTCCGACCCAGCCCCTGCTCACTCCTCACTGGATTTGATTGACAGCAGCAGGAGCGAATAGCTCCCATTGATATCAGCAAACCCATGAGACCAGGAGGGGGGGGGGGGGGAAGACTTAAAGCCAGGCACAGAGCTGGATTGATAAAGGACTCGGGTAAGTGTAAGGGAGGGGGAGAAGAAGCAGACAGCACAAAGTACCATAATGCAGAGAATGCACTTAGGTCAAAAACTTTAGTGTTTGCAACCACTTTTTTCCAGTGAAAGTTTTTATTAAAAACTGCAGGTTGTACAAAAAAATATAAAAATACAAAAAGAGCAAGAAAATAATTGCAGACATACAACAATGAACAGTATCTCAATTTCCCATAGGTACAAAGACATATAACTTAAGGTGCTACAACTGCAAGTTCCCATGTAGCACATTAACCGACACTCAGTGGAGCAAAAGAAAAATCTCAGTCATTAACAGGAGGGAAGAAAGAAAGAAAATAAAAAAATAAAATGGGGGGGGGTAATAAGGGGGCGGGGGGATTGGGGTATAGGAAGGGGGGGGAAGAAGAAGGGGAAAATGGCGTGGGCATGTATGGCTGCCAATGGAACTGGTTCTCTTGTATTGATTGATGATGTGACTGCTGACAAAAGCAGCAGGATGAATTCTGAAGTGTTTCGGGAATATTATCTGCTCATATTCAGCCAAATGCTTCAGAACTCATTGGACGCTGCTTCACAGTGCAGATGGACAATGACCCAAAGCATTGGCCAGATCAAGAACACTCTCCAGGAGGTAGGTGTATGTGTGTCAAAGTCAACATTCAAGAGAAGACTTCACCAGAGTGAATACAGAGGGTTCACCACAAGATGTAAACCATTGGTGAGCCTCAAAAACAGGAAGGCCAGATTAGAGTTTGCCAAATGACATCTAAAAAAGCCTTCACAGTTCTGGAACAACATCCTATGGACAGATGAGACCAAGATCAACTTGTACCAGAGTGATGGGAAGAGAAGAGTATGGAGAAGGAAAGGAACTGCTCATGATCCTAAGCATACCACCTCATCAGTGAAGCATGGTGGTGGTAGTGTCATGGCATGGGCATGTATGGCTGCCAAATGGAACTGCTTCTCTTGTATTTATTGATGATGTGACTGCTGACAGAAGCAGCAGGATGAATTCTGAAGTGTTTCGGGCAATATTATCTGCTCATATTCAGCCAAATGCTTCACAACTCATTGGACGCCGTTTCACAATGCAGATGGACAATGACCCAAAGCATACTGCAAAAGCAACCAAAGAGTTTTTTAAGGGAAAGAAGTGGAATGTTATGCAATGTCCAAGTCAATCACCTGACCTGAATCCGATTGAACATGCATTTCACTTGCTGAAGACAAAACTGAAGGGAAAATGCCCCAAGAACAAGCAGGAACTGAAGACAGTTGCAGTAGAGGCCTGGCAGAGCATCACCAGGGATGAAACCCAGCGTCTGGTGATGTCTATGCGTTCCAGACTTTAGGCTGTAATTGACTGCAAAGTATTTGCAACCAAGTATTAAAAAGTGAAAGTTTGATTTATGATTATTATTCTGTCCCATTACTTTTGGTCTATTAACAAGTGGGAGGCACATATGCAAACTGTTGTAATTCCTACACCGTTCACCTGATTTGGATGTAAATACCCTCAAATTAAAGCTGACAGTCTGCAGTTAAAGCACATTTTGTTCATTTCATTTCAAATCCATTGTGGTGGTGTATAGAGCCAAAAATGTTAGAATTGTGTTGATGTCCCAATATTTATGGACCTGACTGTAAGTACCAATATGCATTTGACATCTAAAGCAAGTGTCAAGGTTCCTGGATATATAACAGATAAACCCTGAGGGGTCTAATAGACTTGGCAGAGGAATTCTATTTAAAGAATGTGGTTCCTAGAAGAGATCATATTCTTAAAAAATTGAAGAACACAGTCTTTCCAGTCATCTTCCATCAATGTATTTATGTCTGCCTGCCATTTGTGATAAAGATCTGTCATCTTTGGTAAAGGGTGATAGTTGAAAGTATAGTGCTGATAAAGGCTTGGGGAGATCCTCAGAGGACAACATTGACTCTAACAGGTCAGATGTCAGAAAAAAAAAGGTCTGGGGAACTGAGCAGCAATGGCATGATGGGGTTGCAAAAATCTAAAAAAAAACATGCAATTGGGTTGACTCTAAAAGACCCGGAGCGAGTCGAAAGACAGCAAGGTGCCTCATGACATATGTTTAAGTCAGGGGTGTAATGTAATTCCACATCTGGCCCATAGGACAGGAACCATTTAAAACCACTTTAAACATCTGTTCCAGGCTTACCACTTTTTCTCAGTTAGCAGTATAGTATTCACAAATAGCCACCAACATATTGCTTATCCACGTTTGTATACACCACTTGTTTAGATATCTTTAGTCAAATAATTCATATAAAAACATGAAGCATAATCAAATAAATAAAAGAAAAAACAAAGCATCAAATTATTGTTATAAAACATACAAAGCAAATCTTAACAGAATAGAGTGAACCAAAACAAATTCTTTTTTTTTTTTTTAAGCTGATACAGTAGGAATGAACCACACTCTCCTCTGTTAATATTCTGGGCAATACTACTGGAATGTAAAAAGGGGGTGCAGCGCTAAAACTCAGTAAATAAAATATATCTCCAATAAATAGTTCATAAATAAATGATTAAAAACAGTTCATAAAGTGACTCTTGTGCTCTTGTTATTTGTGGAACCGAGTGTCCGTGCAGTGATATTGTAAGTAATGCGCACTCACCGGACGCATGTATAAAATGCGCCTTTAAATCAATATTCCAGATGTCATCAAGTTGAGTCAGGAACTAGGTGGTCTTCCCTCTAAGGGATGGTAGGTCATCAGACAGGATCCTTAGGGCTTTATGAAAGATCCATGTCTGCCAGAGTTCCCCTTAAGGGGTAAAACTGGTATTCCTCCCAGGGAGGCAGATTCCCTCTCTGGATGCAAGGGTCCATCCTGAGGCAGTATATCTGAGGATTGAAGACTTCCCCAGGGGGTTACAACAAAGGTACGCTCGTAGTGTAGTAAGGTTTGATAAATTTAATGAAGAAAGTATCAAATAGAATAAAAATTATGCATCAAATGGTGGTTGCAATGAATAACAGATATTCCCTATGTAAGGGACTGACCGCTTGGTATTAAAGATGGCCGCTGGAGCTCCACGTTGCTCCGGCAGCGTGACGTCACAGTGTGATATGGCTCCTCCTGACACGTATCGTGCACAAGCACGTCTTCAGAGGGGAGTTGCCAAATTGGCCAGATTGGTGACCCCCCTCTGAAGACATGCTTATGGACGATACACAGTGCCAACCATCAATGTTAAAACAGGGCTTTACCTAGAACAGGGGTAGGCGACCTTAAAGCGGTGGAGATCTACTCGAACAACATGGGAGATGTCAAAGATCATTGGGCACAGTGTTGCCTCCTCACCCGATTTAAACCTCTAATTGCCCTACTACAGTTTCAAAATGACATGCATTGCATGGCAATCATGGGTTTAAATCAGGTGGTGGGGAAGCAACATATAGTCTTCTCACTACCTGTCAAACACACTTGGATAGCTTTTTAGAGAAGCAGCAGTGCCTGCTGCACTTGTCAATGAGCCCTTAGTTGAATTTGTCAGCGGCACCCTTAGGGCTCATTCATAGGTAAAGTTTGTGGGGTGGTAAACCCTGAGGCTGAGTTGCAGTTTTACTGCCCCCAATCCCTACCCCCTTTAGCTGCTGAGAGAGCAGCCAAAGGTGTACACATGCCAAATCAGGATTTAAACTCCCTGTTGCTATTGGTGGGTGCTACCGCCTGCCAATCACAACCCATTCAAGTAAATAGGGCCACTCTGCAAGCACCCCACAACTACATGCTTCTGCAAGGTCCAAGGGTTTAAAGAAGGTCACCACCTGCAACACAGAAAGAAAAACAACACTACCTGCTCAAACGAGCAGATGGTGTTCAGATCCCACACTGACACCCTAGTTAGCCGTATCAAGGAGCTTTCTGTGATGTCACCTTGTTCTGGTTGGTGGTCTGACACCACAGGAATTTTAAATGTTTACACTGCCTTTATGCACCTTATCTATGTAAGTGAAATACTTTAATAAATTCTTTGCTGGTTTATCGGGTCACACTATGACGTTTTCTTCTTCTGTTTTAAACATTTCCTTGCATGATGTGGAGAGCTGTCTGATGTGATGGATTCGTTCAAGTGAACCTCCAGGTGTCCATTCATCTCCTATTCATCTCGGCTAACTAGAGTATCAGTGTGGGATCTGAACACCATCTGCTCGTTTGATCTCTTGATGGAGATCAAAGTGTCTGGTATGAGGTTGATTTTTTCTTTTGTGTCAAGCATTTGTGGACACCTATCCACTTTCCGTTGGAGGATTTCTTTAGCACACAGCACTGTGTTACTGGATTATGGGACTTTTTCATTATTTAATATATGAATGTGGACTTATATAATTTCAATTAATTTATGCACTTTTTTTATGTAGCAGTATTTATTTGATATATTATTGTTTATGATTCTTTTTAGTGTGCAGCACACTCAATTTTTTTTGTTTTGTATTTTCTGGTGTTCAGGGAAAGAGTA